GGTGGCATGGTGGTGGCTGAGAACAGCTATAGGAGATGTGTGGGAGAGGAGAACGGGATGGAGGAGAGAGGGAGGAGAAGAGATAAGGTGGAGAGTGAATGTTAAATGAGTTTGGTGATGTGGGCTCCACTAAATTGGATGTGTGGTATAAATTTACATAATTGTCCTTAAATGTATTAATTTGACCAAAAAATGTTATGTTATTTACCATATTGCCATTAATGATTGACCAGATTTGACTTTATAATGACCATGGATATATTAGATCTAATGGTCCAGAATTATTCTTATTTCTTTCTTGGGGAACCATTCTCATATGATCCTAACTCTATATGTATATATATATATATAAGGATTTGATCCAATGAAAACACTTATTAAAAGTGTGGACTCATTCCTAGCTATTAGATTGGTACACGATGTCTGACCAATATTTAACTCTTCATTTAAATAATAATTCTTTATTTTTATTACTTAATTCTTTATTTTTCTTATTTTAATTATTTAAATATTATTTTGACAATTGACCATTGACTTCCGCGTTGACCGTTGACTCCGGCATTGACCGTTGACTTCCGACATTGACTTCCAGCGAAAATTGTTGACTTCCGTCGTTGACTGTTGACTTTCAACGTTGACTTCAACGTTGAACGTTGACTTCTGATATTGACCGTTGACCCCTAGTATGTATTATGTATGAAGTAAATATGCATACAGTACTATGCACTTAATATGAACTAAATATGCATAAGATATGAATTATACATGTCATCCTTATGAACTAAATATGCATCAATAATATCAACTATGTATGCACTGTTCTAAATATGCACATTTTACTACGAAACATGCATCATGAATGAACTAAATATGCAACGAAAATATGCAATAAAATATATATTTTATACAATTAAATTAAATATAATAATTAATAAAATTTATTATATAATTAATTTTAATTTTAAATTGATTAATATAAGTTATTGATCTTCACAAATAAATTGTTATGATTGGATCTCAAATAAACTAGGTATGCACTGTTCATAAACTAAATATGGATTTCGTAAGAACTAAATATGTATCATGAATTAACTAAATATGCATCATAAATTAATTATATACGCATCATTATATATTTAATTTAAATATAACAAGTATGCAATTCGTATTAACCAAATATGCTTCATAAATTATCTAAATATGCATCATAAATTACCTATATAAAATGTACATTTTTATTGCATATTTTCGCTGTATATTTAGTTCATTCATAATGCATATTTAGTTCATAACATATGCATATTTAGTTAGTAACAGGTGCATACTTAGTTGATATTATTGGTGCATAAAGTAGGTGCATACTTAGGTGCATAAATTACCTATATAAAATGTACATTTTATTGCATATTTTCACTGCATATTTAGTTAATTCATGATGCATATTTAGTTCATAACAGATGCATATTTCGTTAATAACATGTGCATACTTAGTTGATATTATTGGTGCATATTTAGTTCATAAGGAGTGCATGTGTAATTCATACCACATGCATATTTAGTTCATATTAAATGCATGATACTGGATGCATATTTACTCCATACATACTGCATACCAGGGGCAACAGGTCAACGTGAAAGTCAACGGTCAACGATGGAGTCAACGCCGAAAGTCAACGGTCAACGCCGGAAGTCAACGATTTTCGCCGGAAGTTAACAACGGAAGTCAACGGTGTCAACGGTCAACGTCGGAGTCAACTAATAATTATTTTATTATTTTATCAATGTATATTTTAATTGATTTTGATTTAGACAAATAAGTGGCTAAGATTGAGTCTCACATGCTCATTTTAAAGTGTGAACTAATTGATTTTGATTTAGACAAATAAGTGTCAATGCTCATTTTGATTTCAGTTAGTAATTTCGGTATGCATTAAAAGTAGTATGCAATTCATTTGGTAAATTGTAGTCTTTGATAATTTATCTGTTACTCCACAAATTAATGAAGTAGTGCTAAGTTATTTTGTGATTTATGTATTTATTTATTTATTTTTTTTTTTTTT